CTCAGCTTTCTGACTGTAATTCAGCCTCAGGTGCACTCAGAATCACCTGGCCTCAGTGGCTGACACTGCCCACGGCTAAGGTGAACGGGATTCTGTCTGCTTACTCATCCTTTTATTTGTCCGCAAGACATCTCAGTTCCTGCGGCTCATTAAAGCACTATTGTGTACTTGAGAGGCAACCTGAGCCGTTTTTGTTAACGAGCTCAGAGAGTTACCTCATAAAGTCAGAGCTTCTAGAAGTTGGTGTGTTGTGTAAACAAAGATTGGTAAGGAAAATCTGGACATCCTTTGAGTTTTCCCTGGTCATGTCCTGATTTGCTCAGCTGGCTCTTAGTTTCCTAAGATGGCATTTCCTTTTAGAATGATGGGTACATTGACTTCTAAAAATCTCCAACCCTCTGACCACTTCAGGCATGAGAGGTGGAGGTGGGGCAGGCCATGTTTTCCTTGTGTACGGGGTGACATTTCCTTCCCGTTGTGTGCTCTTGTCCTTCCTGGAGAGCATTTGATGCCACTGTTGGACATGTCAGACATCTGTCCTGAGATGAGACATTTATTTCCTTAGTCAATACCAGAAGGTACCTGTAAGTTTCATAAATTACTTCATCTGTTTGTTATCCAATGAACAGCACTGCAGGTATATTGGGAGAACATCCTAAAGTAAGCATTTACTTGCATTAAACACACTTCTGATGACTAAAATAAGGTTTCCGTTTCCAAATAACGGCATTGTGTGTTACTATTCATAAGAATATCTACACATTTACCAGTGAGAGTATTTCCCCACTAAGCATTCCAGTCAGAAAAATCCTAATGTGAACTGAACTGTCCCCAAGCCTCCCAGGGGACCACCTGAGTGTTCTTAACTGCTTTTCTGAAGAAAAGAGACTGGCATCTGGCTAAGACAAGTGAGTCAGGGTTGTCTCCAGGCACAGGGTCCAGTCTCCAACACAACACCCAAGGAGACAGACGCACACCACAGGGAAGGCTCCAGGAGGCCTGGGTGCAAGCACCCACACATCGTTCCCAGTGGGGACAAGTGATTGCTGTGTCCTATAGGGAAGGTGGTGAATTAGCTGCCCTAACCAGCCAGCAAGGTCCCCAAGGGACAAGGGTCTTTAGCGTTTCTCACCAGGCATTACCCTGGAGGGCCTAGCAGGGAGCCAGGTCTGCAGAGAGAACGGCGGACACAGTAGAGTTGCTGCCAAGGCCGTGGGAGCTCTTCAGCACCAAGAAGCAATGCTTCAGTGTCAGTCCCAGCTCTGGCTTGGGGAGAACCTGCTGTGGCCAGGACAATCATCCTTTCTTTCTGACTTTGTTTCCCTTGCTTTGATTTTTTTTTTCTTCTTTTTCCAGTAACAGCGGTAAATAAAGAAAAAGAATGTGGTTTGCATACAGTCTAGAATTTAAAGCCACAGTGAGAATATTTCATCGAAATTCTACGTGATCCCAGTCTGCTGCTGGCCCATGTCCACCAAGCAGCAGATATCTGTGTGAAATGTAAATGTGCCTTATGTAACTGCCCTTTTCGGTGGCCCGTGGTGACAAGGTGTTACCGTAGTTACTTCACAGGCATGAGCTGAGTTCATGCACCAGAAGGGTGGCATGGGTGGATGGACTGGGAACTACAACCTCTCCTGTTCTGACCCAAATGGTATCAGAAGGAGAAAACATCCAAGTCAGGACAGTTCAAAAAGGCTTGGATAGAAAAAAAAGCATATTTTTAATGACCAAAAACACAACATTTAGAGTCGTAAATGTGTTTAAATAACCAGGGCAGTAGTCACCTCTGTGTGCATGCTCTCTGAGAACACCTCTGTCTCCCTTGTCTTTTTTCTGCTTATCACACTTTTACTGCACGAAGTCTGGTTTAAACCCTTCCTACAGCCCTGTTTGTTTGGTTATAAATAAAACATATCTTTTCCATCACCATCATCAATGTATCTTTCTAACTGCTGAACGTAAAATAGACTCCCAGCTTCCTAAATTGAAATGTCATCTTCCTAATCAGAATTGACAATTGTAAATAACCATCTGGTTGTTTTTTTTTTTTTTTAAGTGTCCTATTCTCACAAACATATTTTCCAACAGTGTCATCTGTATTTAAAATGGTGAGCTCAAACTAATCACCTCAATTTCAGGTTCTCAAAGAAACTGACAACATCGCAGTTTTGAAATGAAGATCACATTACTCACCTGCCTCTCAGCATAGCTTCACACTAAACTGTGCAGTGTCATCATTACAGCATGCAAAATAAGGAAGATGTTCTTTTTTTTTTTTTTTGGTCCTTTTCTGCCCCAATGATTCTGCAATCACAGAAGATTTCAACTCCAACTTGCTTTTTCAATAAGCAGCTTCTATTCTGTTCTATTCTTTTATCATCTGGGTTTATACACTGTTGAGAAACAAAAAAAAGCTACATAGAAGTAAGAATATGAAATATTTGCTGCTTTCTGGAAGGCAGTGAAAAAAATGGGGTGTGTTAAGCCTTGCATTGTGTGCAAACTCCCCAAACTTCCTTAGCTCACATCAGGAAACATGTCTGCCCCATGATCTATTCAGTTCTTGACCTTTTGACTAATACACCAACAAAAGACACCATTTATTACTGATAGTATATGTATTTTTGTCCATAAGGAGCTGGATCAAGGCTGTCACCACTCAGCCTCATCACCAGTTTTCTTTTCCAGGTGCCCTTGGGGGTACGCTGTGGGTTCGGCTGTCCTATGCAAACGTAGATCTGCCACATTCTCCTTAAGTGCATCAAAGATCACGAGTTGTGTTTATCAGGAATGTAATTTGGGGGAAGGGAGACATACAGCTGCCAAAGACCTCCTGGGAATTCATCCCACTCTGATTGGAATCCTGGGACACTGATGTCATTCCTAACAGATACATTCTCCCTTATCCTTATCTGTCTCCCTTGTCATATGGTGTTCTCCCTCCTGTCCCTTTTCCTGACTCCTTTGTTGCTTTTTGTGCTGGCCCCAGCAACAACCACATCTACACCTGCCAAACTGAAGCTTTCTCCAGACCCTCTCCTCTTGGAGAGCAGAGCACCACACGGGTCCTCTGTGGTACAGTCATCACTACCAACTGCATCCTTTCTCCTCAGACAACCATGCCAATCTTAAAACAACAAGTTTTAAGTTTTGAGTTTTTTTTTTTTAAGTGATCTCTGTTGGTTTGCTCCAAAACAACAGGGCAAGACTCTTGTTCAAAATTCTTGGCTCCTTGGTATTCTATATTGCAAATATTGTTGTTTGAGATATATGTTCAGATATTTTGAATGACTATCTACTTTATAAATTGAACTTTAAGTTGACTTAAATCCAGCTTCCTGTGTGGTAGCAGAAAGGATTGCACCATGAGAAAGAAAAACAAAACCTAATTACTCATGGTTTTGAAAATGATGAGCCATTTTCAGTCCATTTTTTAATGAAAAGTGAGTGTGTTTCATAGTCCTATGACTCACAGTGTAATTTCACTTGAAAATTAGTTGTATTTCTGACTTCTTTCGCCCCTGCCAAAATGAAACTAATCGGGATGGCAATTTACTTTCTCAGTATTACAGAAGACAGTGATGTTTCTCAAATAGATTTCTGGAAAAATGAAGGCAAAGAACTACTTATCTATGCTGTATGGAATTATAATTGTTACACTTATTCTGGTCTAAGCCATCACCCAATCTTTTTGAAATGTCCCAAGTTACTGGAGCCTAAAAAGTTTGAAATGCTATTTTTAACCTCTACTATTTTTACATTCAAACTAGATAAACAGTTTAGGGCTGTATTTGAAATATGAATGGAAAATGAAACCAGTCCCTCCTCTGAAGAAACACACCTTTCCAAGCTCACTGTGGTCCCCTGCACCTAGGCATTCGTAGACCTAAGATTACGTCCTCATCCTTCTGGCCTCTTGTAGTCCACCTTGTGGGCCTTTCCTTATGTCACAGATAAGACTGGAAGTGTGAGTTACTTTGCAGAGGCAGGATAACGACTCACCTATAGGGAGAATAATATGGTGAAGCCCTTGGAAACTCATGAACAGAATGCAATAGAAAGGGTATAACAACTGTGTAGAGAAGAAAACTGAAAGTTTTATATTCTGGAATCCCTGGGTGAACTCTGGTCAGACTCCCACGCTCTCAGTAATTCCCCCAGACATCTCACACTCTGGGCAATCAGGTATCTCCCATCCACACAGCTGGAGACGGAGTTTGCAGAGTAGTGGAAAGTCTTGGATGCAGGTTCCCGAGGCCTTTTAAGGGCATCCTAAGACTTCCTTCCCTTTAAGTATCCACAAGGCAGCCACAGTAGCCATTTAGAGAAAATGCCAGATTCTGGGCGGTAGGATTTCATTCAGGACCTCCTTGTTTTAGAGTTTCCACCAGCAGTGACGCAAACTCCCTGTGATTCTGTAACTAGGAGTTGTCAGCAGAGTTTCCCTGGTCATTCAACAGCAGTCATACAAGGACAGCACTGCCCCTTCCCATCTCCTCCCCACCCCACACCCTCCAGAGAGATGGGAACAACTGCAGCTAACTGAGTGCTTGGGTCTCTGATATTCACAGGAGAAAGAGCTCACCATTTGTACAAAAGCAGCAAAACATAGGCACTGGCTAAGCATCTCCTTCTAAAGTACGTCCACCCAAACCACATGGGACCACCTGCCCAGTTCTACACACGCCCAAGGCCTAGGAGAGCACTCTGTGCACGACAGTCAGATGGAGAGTCCTGACTCGAAACCTGTTTTGTGGCTATCTTGCTCTCGTTTATAATCACCTCATTTACTCTGCTGGTTAATTTTCATCACTCATGCTGAACTTCGGTATTTTTGTAGTGTCGTCACCAGTCCTAAAATCCCTGCAAGATCACATGGAATTGTTACCTGTTGGTGTCTCCTACTAAGTGTTAGGGAAAATGCTTGGATTGATGGGTGGGACTTATAGGGACACTTTCCAGAAATAATTGCCTCTTTGTGTGTTTGCCTGAACCAGTGAACTCCGGAGATGGCATTGACTACAGCCAACAGAAGAGGGAGAACATTGGTGACCTGATTCAGGAGACACTGGAAGCCTTTGAGCGCTATGGAGGGGAGGACGCCTTCATCAACATCAAATACATGGTGCCCACCTACGAGTCGTGCGTGCTGAACTGACGGGGGGCTGGGCCGAGAGGAAGGTTTCCTTGGTGCTGCGATCTCATCTGTCTCTGCCGCTTTTAGCACCTCATTACTTGTGACTTCCACAGCTTTCTTTCTACAGCTGCTAAAATAGTGGCTTCTGGGCCATTGGACTGCTAGCCCTAGTGAGAGCAAGGCTTTCCAGTACATAAATAGTGCCTGTTTCTTAGATTACAATAGTGTACTGTGCTTATTTGTTCTACGAGAAGAATTGCTTCTTTATACAGCTTGGATGGAGGCAGGAGTCCGAGTTAAACCTTCAGTTGTATAGACAATAAAACTATAATTTTCATACGCAATTCAGCAATCGCTGTGCTGTGTCTGCCTGCCCTGAGGGTGATGTCAGGGACTGTGAGGGAAGAGGTTGTGCTGACTGCTTAATAGGTGTTTGTCATGGAAGAGAAGCATCCGTTCAGCGCTGCCTCTCTAGCAGCTGTGCAGAATAATGTGCCTTGACATTCAATAAAAGTGTTGAATCTATATTCCAATTACAGCAGGAAATTTTTGAGCCTGTTATAACCTCAGCTATAAATGTAATTAATGCTCCTGACCAACCAGGAATCTAGATTTCAAGACCTGTCCAGTTTAGATGTGGGTGCAGATGGGAGGCTGGGGAGGGTTGGGGTCAGGGTTAGGTATGAAATGTGACCTTGCAAGCATGGCTTTAAGCACAAAGCTAGTGTGAATCCTTGCCCTGTCCTATCATGACCTACTGCACCTCAGGATGTGGTGTGTTATTCATAAAATGTCATCTGGCAGTTTGTTTAGGGCTTTTAATCATTCTTGAAAATGGTGTACATGCATCTTAATGATGACCCCTTGAAACGATCAGTTGTTTCCCTTGGCAACTCTTCTCCTCCATTGGCTCCCCCCACAAGTTGGATGGTTCCCATAGCACCACTCGGTGGGTCTGATGGTCATAGTTCAGAATTTTATTGAGACCACACACACACACGCACACACAAAAAGACAAAAGACATGCACTTTTTCATTCAACAGAGAAAGAAAAAAGGTGCCCAAAGCAAAGAAGAACTATAAGGCAATCAGCCTTGGACGGTGGCTGTTCAGGCAGGCCAAGCAGGGAGCTTGGGGCATTTGAAACCCAGCCCAGAAAACTTCATAAAGACAGAGCACTAACTTTGCATACCTGAGAAATGCCATAACTGCCCAGAAATGCATAGCCTAAAGTGTCTCATTTCTGTAGCAAAGTGCAATTTCTGCACAAAAGTAAAGAAATGAAACGTCCTCAACATTATTGTCACTAATTATTTAAGGCACAAGTTTCTAAAGGCAAACACCCCTTTTGTAAACTAGTTCATTATTCATTTTCCCTTACTACTGGCTCAGCATGTGAAATCTTGCATTTACATGTGACCACCTGGTTTCTGTAAGCTTTTTTAGGATAAACAGAGATGCGTGATCAGGAAGGACAAATGAGTTTCCATGTATAACATTTGGAAAAGACATAGCTGGAAGGAGAAAGAGACAGATTAAGGTAGTTTTCCTTCAAACTATAGTGTTCAGTTAGCACACACCAGCTACGGTCCTGGTGTTGAAGGTCTATTGGATGGGGACACCAAAGCCCCATGATATTACTTTGGAATATCATGGTTTGTTGGTATCTTTGAAAGCCTGTACAGAATGGATCCTGGTAGGACACACAGAAGCAGGCCCAGCCTCTTACTCTCTATTAGACACATGAAAACCCGCCTGGCGTAGGACAAGAAGACCCAGACAGGAGTCCCGACTTTTGTTTGGAGCTAAAGCATCAGGGTCCACTCCCCGGATCTGGACCTCATTAGCTGTGCTGCACTGGGCAGACGTCAGAACCTCCTGAACCTCACTGCCTCCAGCTGTGAACTGGAGATCCCCACCTGGAGGAACACGGGAAGCATCAGCGGTGAGCTGCATAAAGAGCCAGCAGAGTTTTGGATGTTCACTGAACTTTTATTTCAAGAAGAAACAGCATATGAAGGATAGCTTGTTTCTACTCGAATACAGCAATATAAATTTAAAAACTTCTCAGACCATTTGGAGCTTCCTCCCCGGCAATGCTGAGTTCTTGATATTAAGGAGATAATTTTGCAAAGACCCAAGATAATCCCATAGATAGCACCATGTTCTCTGGAGATTAAAAATCAAAACAAACAAACACACATTTTTGTTATTTTATTCCTATAGAATTCGGAATGGCCTGTCTTTTCAGACTGTCAGCCAATCTGACTTCTAGTCTGTTCAAATAATTTCTGATTAACTTAAAAGTGAGGAGGTCAGGGGTATGACTCAGTAGTAGAGGGTTTGCAGCACATGGAGAAGCCCTGGGTTCAATGTCTAGCACTGCAAAACAAAGCAGGAAAAGGAAGAATAGCAGGAGGAGAGGGGGAGGGGAAAGAGGAAGGGGAGGAGGAAGAGATGAGAAAGGGGAAAGAAGGAAGGAAGGGAGGGAGGGAGGGAGGGAGGGAGGGAGGAGGAAGGGAGGGAGGGAGGGAGGGAGGGAGGGGAGGGAGGGAGGAAGGAAGGGAGGGAGGAAAGAAGGGAGGGAGGAAGGGAGGAAGGGAGGAAGGGAGGGAGGGAGGGAGGGAGGAAGGAAGGAGGGAGGAAGGAAGGGAGGGAAGGGAGGAAGGAAGGGAGGGAAGGAAGGGAGGGAGGAAGGAGGGAGGGAAGGAAGGAAGGGAGGGAGGGAAGGAAGGGAGGGAGGGAGGGAAGGAAGGAAGGGAGGGAGGAGGAGGAAGGGAGGGAGGAGGGAGGGAAGGAAGGGAGGGAGGAAGGAAGGAGAAGGAAGGAGGGAGGAAGGAAGGAGGGAAGGAAGGAAGGAAGGAGGGAGGAGGGAGGGAAGGAAGGAAGGGAGGGAAGGAAGGAAGGGAGGGAGGAAGGAAGGGAGGGAGGGAGGAAGGAAGGAAGGAAGGGAGGGAGGGAGGGAGGGAGGGAGGAAGGGAGGGAGGAAGGAAGGGAAGGAAGAAAGGAAGGAAGGAAGGGAGGGAGGGAGGAGGAGGAGGAAGGAGGGAGGGAGGAAGGAAGGGAGGGAGGGAGGGAGGGAAGGAAGGAAGGAAGGAAGGAAGGGAGGGAAGGAAGGAAGGAAGGAAGGGAGGGAAGGAAGGAAGGAAGGGAGGGAGGGAGGGAGGGAGGGAGGAAGGGAGGGAGGGAGGGAGGGAGGAAGGGAGGGAGGGAGGGAGGGAGGGAGGAAGGAAGAAGGCGAAAAGGTCGTCAGGTTTCAGAGTCCTGAACATGGCGGGATGGTGGCTTCTTTGACCTGCTGTATGCTGACATGGAAATATCCTTCCAGAAACAGCTGATGAAATGCTGAACTTCAGCATTTCAAGGGTTTTGTTTATTTGTTTATTTGCTTATTATGACCTGTGATCAAAGACCCAGTCAAGCTTCTCAGTTAAGGGAAGCAACAGGTGGGAGCCTGTTGATGAGAGGCTGAGGATCTCACAGGAATGCTGGGCTGTTTCTCAGGAGCTTCACAGCCGAGACAACCACAGAGATGGTTTCCTCTCCTTCGGAGATGTCTCTGCTCCCAGGGTCTCTGCAAGAGCCCGAGAATGGACTTGGACACAATGGTGCCACGCAGGTGCAGGATCTGTGCAGGACCAGGCACAGCTAGACTTGAAACCTCCTTCCACTACCAATTGACTGCCTTGTGACCTTGGGCAAATGATGCAAATTCTCTAAAACTCAAATCCCTTATCCAAAAATGACTCCATAAATGTCTACCTCATAGTTCTTTCAAGCATCATATGCAAAGCGCATATCCTGTAAGGGCTGGGCTTGGTACAGGGAGCAGCTCACCTAGTACCAGGATCCAGCCAGTGCTCTGTCCTCAATGGACCCAGGAGGGCCTGGCTCTGGCCATGTCTGATTAGACCCCTGAGGGCAGGGGGGAGTGCTCTGGCTGCCTTTCAGACAAGGGTATTAGAACACAGGCCCAAGTGAGGAAGACAAGGACTTTCACAGCCACCAGCTCTCCTACCCTCCCAGAAATCACTCCCAGAACATCAGTGAGAGTGGACTCTCTGTCCCTTGCACCAGAAGAACCACATGTGGTTCTTAGGGCCTGGCTGTATTTGAGAACCATCAGACTGAAATGCAGAGCTCTGAATCAGAAATGGTTGCATCTTGAAAATATCATTGCCAAAGCTGAAGATTTATTTAACAAATACAGAAACCCTTAAACCTTTCTGCAGTGGGCCTGCATGATATTCCAGAGATGGCTTGGTGCAGGTCATGATGGCTCAGATGCAAGGTCCTAGTCATTCAACATCTGTCTCAATGCCCACAGCATCTTTTGGCTATTTTGAAATATTTACCACTAGCCCTTTGCAAATGAAAGCTGAGAAGCTCAAAGATGGTTCTTAAAGGAGCAACAGGCCTGGGGAAGACACCTTCCCAGGTGTGAACACCTTCCTAAGTGTGCATTTCTGCTGTCCCAGAGGAGTTAAGATGGCATCCAAAAGGCTCAGAAACTCTGGGAACAGTTCCCTCAGACAAGTTTACCAAAGCTCGCTCAAAATGGGACACTTCACTGTCTAAGGAGCCTTTGCTGCACTGGACGTGCACTGAACATTCAAGGGTGGGAGGTCTCAGCCTCGCACAGTTTTACCACTCACTGTGTCCTTGCCAGACAGGTAACCAGGATGTGAAATATTCTCCAGGCACTACCATTTCTCCCCCACCTCCACCCCGGGTCTGTTGGGGAAACTCTAACAGACCAGATTCTTTTCAAGGCCCAGAGAAAAGGGCTTTCCCAAGTCCAGCCAGCCTGTTTCTTTAAAAGTAATACATCTGAAGTGAGTTAAGCCTTCTGTTACCCTGTGTAAACTAGACTCAGCTGTCTTTACTCTGCTAGGGAACCCGAGGCTAAAGTCCCCTGTGTTAGAAGCATGAAAGGCCTTCTGCAAATGGGACCTGCTACCCTACTCTACTATGATTTTTTTGTAACCATGATGGGTTTTTAGTTTGTTTGTTTTATGTAG